GGAAACCAATCTGACAATAAATTTCATATTAAAAAAAAAGAAAAAAAGGAAAAATCTTGACCCGAGGCTTTGTTTACATTTATTTTATTAAGGCAACTCCTGTGTTTAGTTAAGCTAAATGTTCTGTCTCCATTCAAGACGTTAGTATACATAATAAATAAAAATATTTATGCTTGTGATGTATTATCTAATGGGGGAAAAAACCTCAGCCTTCCTAATATTTCCCCATAATTGAGGCCCAAGGACATGGGAGCCCCACCGAAAAGCAGACGAGGAACCTGAGTTATGGATTTTCTAGATGCTACTGCTTGTTGGAGGAATAAATTAGTGTATGATCTCTATAGCATAATATGACATGCAGGCTTATGACATAAAGATCTTGGGGGGTGACTGGGTGGCTCAGGTGGTTAAGTGCCTGACTCTTGATGTTGGCTCAGGTCATATTTCATGGTTCGTGAGTTCAAGCCCCGCGTCGGGCTCTGTGCTGACAGCTCGGAGCCTGGAGTCTGCTTCGGATGCTGTGTCTCCCTCTCTCTCTCTGCCCCTCCCCTGCTCGTGCTCTGTGGTTCTCTCTCTCTCAACAATAAACATAAACATTACAAAAATAAAAAATAAAATAAAAACAATTAAAGAGACACCTACTGATCAGAACAGCTTCTCTCTTCCAGATACACATGCAACACAGTAACTCCACGGAGGGGCTTCCTGCAAAGCCAATCCTTAAAACCGAAACCATACTTTAAATTCATCTGGATTTCCGGCTACGAGCGCAGCAGCAGAAACTTACAGCCTGGGCCCCAAGCTGGACCATCCAAAAAGGCCCTTTTCCTTCCACTGGGTACAATATAGCCAGGTGGTTAGTGGACCAGGTGCCATCTCTGAGACCCTCACTGTGTGGGACACCCCAGAGTGACATCTGCTTCTACATGTACCTGAGGATCTGTCCCCGCAGATGGCACAGATGTGTTTAACCAGGGATCCGGGGCTGGTTGATGGGTAGTTCATGTTTCCAATCCCAGGAAGCCCTGGTAAGGGCTTGATGTCCTCTGAAATGCTGACACTGTTGACCACATTTAGCTGCGAGAGAAAACACACAATAAAACACAGAGCCAGGGCAGACCCAACGCCTGAGACCAAAAGTAACAGGGGTATCCTTGCAGGGAGAAAAAAAAAAAAAAAAGTTCTATTTCAAGAAGAGGTTTCCAAGTACAGAGTATCCAAAACTGTCCGTGGGGGATATGAATTTAAGGGAGGGAGGGAGAAAAGGGGACATAGAGGAACCAAATCATTCCTAGACACCAAAACCTAAATCGAAAATCACAACACATCATCGGAGTGCTCTGCCTTCACTCATTTCACTCGTCTGTTTCATCACAGCTAGAAATCCACCCGGGACACGCTTCAGACACACTTAGGACAAGCCAGCTGTGTGTTTTTAGATTCTGTAAAACTACTGTGTGTCTATTCAGCAGTGCTCCAAGAGGAGCTACGGCTCTTAGGCAAAAGATTTAGACTCCAAGAGAACCAAGCAAAAAATGCAAATCCATTCAGTCAGTCTATAGACACTCACTGAGTACTCGCCATGGAGACACCGTGTGAGGCGCTGGGGTACAAAGGGAAGGTCTAAAAACGCACACTTTTAAAAAAATGAAAAATTTTTAAAAAATAAAAATGTAGGGGCGCCTGGGTGGCATAGTCGGTTAAGCATCCGACTTCAGCCAGGTCACGATCTCGCGGTCCGTGAGTTCGAGCCCCGCGTCAGGCTCTGGGCTGATGGCTCGGAGCCTGGAGCCTGTTTCCGATTCTGTGTCTCCCTCTCTCTCTGCCCCTCCCCCGTTCATGCTCTGTCTCTCTCTGTCTCAAAAATTAAAAACGTTGAAAAAAAAATTTAAAAAAAAAATAAAAATGCACATTCTTAAAGAGTTCACAGTAAAATGGAAGAGAAGATACGTGTAGTCGTCACCTTAATGAACCCACAGAGGATGCCAAACCACATGCCCAAATTATTCCAGTAGCACCCAAAAAGTTGGGCAGAAAGCCCCAGCTCGTGGTTTTGAACTTGAATGTAAGAAACAGACCATCTTCCTGTGAAACTGGAAAATCCGTACAGCCAGAGACTGGGTGCTTTGTCTTCCCTGTGTCTGACGTGGTCCCAGCACCCGGGGTGGGGAGTCGCTGTGTTTGGATGGCTGAAGAAATGAATTTTATGTGCCTCCTATCCCTCGTCTTTTACCACACGTTCACATTAGCTCCTCACCACCACCACCACCTCCAAGTCTCCCAGTGTCTGGGGAGATCACCGAGAAGCCGCTAAGTGTTCCATATTCATCAAAGAAATCTTAAGTGATCATGACTAGGTCATCCGATTAGCAGAAATTCTGGGTGCCCATGTGCACAGCTCAACATTCTAAGCACTGTGAAAGGAGATATAAAACCTAGAAGATCTCGGGGCATCTGGGTGGCTCAGTCGGTGAAGCGTCCGACTTCAGCTCAGGTCATGATCTCACGGTTCGTGGGTTCAAGCCCCACGTCGGACTCTGTGCTGACAGCTCAGAGCCTGGAGCCTGCTTTGGTTTCTGTGTGTGTGTGTCTCTCTCTGCCCCTCCTCCGTTCATGCTCTGTTTCTCACTCTCAAATATAAATAAACATTAAAAAAATTTTTTTAACCTAGAAGATCTCTCCTTCCTCAAAACTGCACACTTGCACTGAAGAGTCACAACATGTGCCAAAAGGAAAAACGCTTAGTTAAGTAAACGCAAACAAAGGTGGTTAGGGAGTATGTTTAAATGTCCAGCAGAGGCACCTGGTAAGGATCTGGAAGTTTCAGAGAGGTTCCACAGACTACAGACTTCTGTATGGTCCGTGTGAATTTCGAATCGTACTGCCTCACCAAAGTGACTGTAATTCCTAAACTAAACCAAAGGTAGGATTTGTTTCTCTATTCAAGGCCTTTGGGACAGAAGGAGTGATCAATAAAACATAAAACACAACACAGCCTGAGTTAGGTTCCTTTTAAATTTACCAGCTTTTCAATTCACTAAGCAAATATTTATTGAGCACAGGAGATGGGCAGAGGCTTGGGTCAAGTGCTCTATGGGATGCAGAAAACACAAGACAGCCTTCAGCTCCTTGCTTCAAAGTCAAAGTCACCAGGAATTTTTAAAAATTAATTTGTGTGAAGGGTGAAAACACACATGGGATGGGAGGATTCTCTCTCTCTTCCTCTCCCCTCCCCCCTCTCTTTACAAGGCTAAGACAGGACATCTAGAACTTGTAGCCAGTATTTGGCTTTGTTTTGGTCTCATACTGTGGTTCTCAACCCTGGATGTACACCTGGGAGCTTAGAACAAAAACTGAGGCCAGGGATCCACACCCAGAAATTTTGAGTCAATGGGTCAGATGGCCATTGGTACTGACCTTTCTTCAGGTTTCCTGGGTAATGCTATGTGCATCAGAGCTCGGAATCACCGGTATGGTGGGAAAAACATGGCTTGGGAGTCCCAGGGAACTGGGACCAACTCCCAGGCTGCCCTTATTGGCTGCGTGACTTCAAAGAAGTTACTAATCTTGTTCGACCCTCGGTTTCTTTATCTGGAAAATGAGCCTAGTAAGACCTAGTTTACGTAGTCACTGGGAGGATTCAATGAGATAATGATGTAAAATCCCCATCACAGTGCCTGGCACACATTAGGGGTCCCATAAATTGTGGCCTTTATCATTCCCATAAAATCTGGTTGATCAAGACAAGAATTCTAGTGTTTATTATAAGCCAACAGTCTATTAGGTGCTGGGAATCCTGTAGTAAATGAGGCCACATTCACCAATGGGGTTAAATGATTCCATTTCTTGGTGAGCAGGGGGTGGTCAGAAAATTATTTAACGTTGTCATAATACATTATCATCACTTCAGATAAGGGACATATTTAGATGTGTCTTATTTTTCAGAAATCAGGTGAGGGGGGTTTCCGTCGATGTAAATTCTAGGCAACAACTTTCCTTGGGTGCCTCAGTGACACAGATACTAACCACTTAGATCCACCCATGAAATGGAAGCATTTCAGGTCAGACGACCCCAGAGAGAGAACCCGCTAGCTGACTGAGGAGGCTCTGTCCCCAAATCCTCAGACGGAGGAGAACGGGCATGGGAATGAGGAGGAGGCCGCCATCCCCTGAGGCTCAAGAGACGCTCACTCGCCTCCTCCTTCCACAGTCAGGTCCGGTGGAACCAGCCTCACTGTCTCCAGCCCAAAGCGGTCACACAACAGTAGATACCTTTACTGCTGCTGTTAGCCCCGCCCACCATGAGCCCCGCCCACCGCTAGCCCCACCCACCGTAGAAAGCTCCCACGCTGCTCGCTGCTCTCCTAATCCTTGCAGCAGCCCTATGAGGTCGTTCTATTTTCCAGATGAGGGAAGTTAGGCCTTAGAGCGGTTTATTCATGTGTTTGTTCAGAAATACCGTGGGGATACCGAAAGGAGGAGGATGTAGTACCGCCTCAAGGCCATTTGACAAGATTAAAAGTCAGTTGGGATGGTTTAGGAAGAAAAGACCCCAAACAATGGAGATTTGGGAACGCTTCCTGAAGGTGGTGGCATTGGAGCTAGGCCTTGGCCGCCTTTAAAAGTGGGTCAGGTTTGGACGGGCCCCTCACGGGCTAAAGGCTCTGAGAGCAAAGGCCTGGGGGAAGCCCAGGGGTTCCTGTGGGCTGCAGGGGTGGGAGGCAAGGCCGAGGGCTGGGCTGTGACAGAGGCCTGAGGCCTGACCGCCCGGCTAAGGAGAGTGGATCTAATCTTGAGAAGCAAATTAAGAGCAGCCACGGGAGGTTCTGGGCTGAGGAATCCCGCTCTCAAAACTCCGCCTCGGGGAGATAAATGGGGGGGGCAGCTCGAGGAAAGCCTGGAGGAGAGAGACACAGGGGGTGTCAAAGCCTCCCGGGGAGACGCGGAGCCTCCCCAGGCTAACAGGCCAGAGCTCCAGCGCTGGGCTCCCAGACCAGTCCTTTACCACAAGGTCTGTCTTGCTGCGGCAGGAGACTCTGAGTCTCTGAGCCTCCTGGCCCACCTCCTTGGTGGGGAGCCCTCTGTCTCCCAGCTGGGAGCCGGCCACCCCCCCCCCCACCTTTCTCTTCCTGGGTCATGGGGGCGGGGGGGTGGGCAGGTGGCAGAAGGGAGGGGTTGGGACAGAAGGGCTGATACCCACTGGCCTCTTCGCTGGCTCGGGGTTTGTGTGGGCTCCGAGCGAGGGCAGACGGGCTAGAAGGCACCCGCCAGAGCGCAAACCCATTAGCTGCCTGGCCCCCCGAGTCCCCCGCCTGGCTGTCTGGTTCCATTAGAAGCAGCCCCGCGGAAGTGAGCACTTTTCAGAGCGGGGGTTCACCAGGCAGCTGGCTGCTCCCCGAGAACAGGGTGGAAACACACTTGACTGGCCTGGCTTCCATTTGCAGACTCGGCCAGGGACCAAATGCTTCCTGGATGCCCCGGAGCCATCACGGAACATCAGCTCCCACATTTCTGAGCTGCTTTCAGCCAAAATTATCCCACTAAACGCAGAGACGTGGCCGGCCTGCCAGGCCACAGGCAGGCACTCTTTTTCCAGGGAGCAGACTGTATACGGGGCGCTGCTTTAATCTAGAAGAGGGCCTTGTCATGAGGAGTAAGGAGCCTGTGCCTTCTACAGGGGAGAGAGGAGCCCTGGGTTTGGTGGGGACCAGCCCCCTCCTCACTGCGTGATCTTGACCAGGTCACTGCGTCAGAGACCCTTTGCCTCATCTACAGATTAGATCGGTGGGTTTTCCAACTCAGAGTGTGCATGGCGGGGCAGCGGGGAAGGTGAACAAGAAGGCTTCAGATCTCCTGCTCCTAGTTCACCCACACCTGTTTGTAACATGCACATTAGGGGGCACCTGGGGGGCTCAGTCGGTTCAGTAGCGATCGGCTCAGGTCATGATCTCACAGTTTGTGAGTTTGAGCCCCGCATCAGGCTTTGCACTGACAGTGCGGAGCCTGCTTGGGATTCTCTCTCTCTTTCTCTCTCCTCTCTCTGCCCCTCCCCCATTCATGCTTTCTCTCTCTCAAAATAAATAAATAAACTTTAAAAAAAATTTTTTAAAAAGAAAGAAAACGTACACATTAACCTTCCAAACATGCTTTCTCTTGGAGACAAGACTTCATGGCTTAATTTTTTTTAATCATTAAACAAGACGGCCTTTAAGGTCTGTTTCAACTCCAACATTCATAATTTTTATTATTTGAGTATTCTCTATAAAAATCTGAAAGGAAAGTACTACCTGAGCAGGAATTATCAGGGACAGAACCCAGGTCCAGCAGCAGGGTTCAGGAGGGGAGAAAGAGGTAGGGGCCTTCCAAGAACTTTCAGGGCTTGTTTCCAAGTGCAGGCAACAGATCTCTCTCTCTCTCTCTCTCTCTCTCTCTCTCTCTCTCTCTCACACACACACACACACACACACACACACACACACACACAGAGTCAGGAAAATGTGGCCTTGATCATTTTGTCTGAAAGCTGCATAAGTATCTTCCCAACCACATATTTGGTGTTTCTGGAAATTGCTCCCTCAACTTAAATACTCCCCGGAGCAGAGACTGACTCTTTTTCTTTTTCTTTTTCTTTTTTTAAGTTTTATTTATTTAAGTAATCTTTACACTCCACGTGGGGCTCAAACTCACAACCCAGAGATCAAGAGTCACACGCTCTGCTGACTGAGCCAGCCAGGCGCCCCACAGCAGAGACGGATCCTTATAATTTTTTTTTTTTTTTTTTTTTTTTTTTTTTTTTTTTTTTACTTCCAGGGCCTGGTTCAATGAATGCTTATTGAAATTAACTTTTCTAGAACCTCTCAGCAAGAGAATACCCTGGGATCAAAGATCCCATAGGGGTAGAATGTAAATCACTGAGGTGCATATCACCTAGGTATAATAATAATAATTATAATGATAATAATAATAATAATAATAATAATGATGCCACCTTACTGCCACCAGAGAGCCCTTAAGAAGTGACTTTATAAATCATAGCTCCTTTAATGTTCATAAAGCATGTTACCCTGAAAGAGAAAAGGAAACTGAGGACAGACATAAGCTTAAGTGGTTTGCGAAAGGTTACACGGTCCCCGTGTCCGGAGTATCTGTTCAGTTCTCTTTACTCCTCACGAATGAAAGTCCCACAAGAGCAGAAAGACTTAGTCAAGCACCGGAACGACAGGGCAGGGAACAGGAGACAGGGCCCTGCTGCTCCCACACCAGAGCACCCCCTCCCCTCCCCCCGCAAACTGCACTTACCCTAGACCCAGGTCACAGGAGGAGCACGCTTCCCGTGCGGGTCCTGCTCAGACCCATCCTGGGCGAGGAAGGCAGGATGCATAGACAGTCTATCCAGGTGGTTCAGAGTCCAACTCACCGCAGCTAACACCGAGGGTCCTAGATGTCCTGTGTCATCTGGTTAATTAGGCGAAACGTGTCTGGAGCCCGAGGCCACGACGCCGTTCAGTGTCCCGGGGCCGCTGAGCTCCCCCAGAGCTTGGCAAGCTTAATATAGCTCCCGGAGTGAAACTTGGCCTCGGCCTCTGCACACAGCCCAGTTGGCCAGGACCGAAGCTTTCAGCTGACCTTTCAACCCCAATCCCTCTGTACAGACATACGGTCCAGGAATAGCGAGCGTCCCTGCCACTCACACGGCTGTGAAGCCGAACGTGTCGGCTAGGTTTGGCTCAATCAGACCGGAGCCTGGTTGCTAAAAGCAGCCTTGAAGGATGGGGCCTTGCCCACTCCCCACCCACAGGCCCTGTCACTGTCTGTCACCTCACCCTGCCTCACTTCTTCGCAGATAGAACGATTGCTATGTGAAACCACCTCGCTCGCTTGTTTCGTCTCCGTCTCACCTGCTGCGGTCTAACTGCCGTGAACGTGAAGACATTAGCCACCTTGCTCCGCGCTTTTCCCCAGAACCTACGAGAGCATCAAGTACCGCCAGACGCAAAGTCGGTCCCCGTGAGTAGTTACGTGAAGGACCACGAACGCCCCAGCAAGACTTTCCTTGCAGCCCGGAGCCTCAACGTGTCCTTCTGTCTCTTGCCTACTGGCTATGACCTGCCTTCCTGGGGTCCGTTCACAAGGAAGAGCGTGAATAAACCAACCTCATCAGGGTCTCACGTTCTGAAGGCTACGTGTCACCAGCGCTGCTGGCATAAATACCTGCCCTTCCCCCGGCCGTCTGGACCCCGCTCCTCTCGTGGAACACACACCTGGGAAGGTCCGGAGTCCTTGGCTTCTGCTCCTTCAGTTCTGCTCTTAGCCTACCATAGCCCACAAGACACTGCCTTGCAATTTGCCCACATGACGTGCCACGTCCGCAAGAGACACCTTAGGAGCACTGATTAGTCATCTTTCATTTTTTTCAAGTTTGATTTATTTATTTTGAGACAGAGAGTGAGTGAGTGAGCAGAGGAGGGGCAGCCCCCATGTGGGGCTCGCACTCAAGAATCGCGAGACGGTTGGGGCGCCTGGGTGGCTCAGTCAGTGAAGCGTCCGACCTCGGCTCGGGTCATGCTCTCGTGGTTCGTGAGTTCGAGCCCCGCGTCAAGCTCTGTGCTGACAGCTCAGAGCCTGGAGCCTGCTGCGGATTCTGTGTCTCCCTCTATCTCTGACCCTCCCCTGCTCATGCTCTGTCGCTCTCTGTCTCAAAAATAAATAAAACGTTTTTAAAAATTTAAAAAGAAAAAAAAAAAAAAAAGAACCGCGAGATGGTGACCTGAGCTGAAATCAAGAGTCGGACACTTAACCAACTGGGCCACCCAGGTGCCCGGATTACTCATCTTTTAATCCTTGGTGGCCAACGGAAGATCTTGGGGTCACGGATTGAGTCAGCACAGACCACAGCAGCAGGTGAATGCAGCATCATGAACACACAGCGGGGGTCAGGACACCTGGGCTTGAACCCATGCTCTGCTGCTGACTGGCTGGGAGATGCTGGATGTGTCACTTGAGCTCACTGAGTCCTGTTACTTCATTTGTGGGATGAGGGCTTAGACAGAATTCGTGGTTCTCAGCTGGGCTTTTACCAGCTCCACAAGGGCCAAGATCTGGGATAGGGGAGAAATGTACACTCTGAAGAAGATCCTATAGGTGAAACCATCAGATGACAAGTCGGGGTGAAAAGGGCCAGCCAGATGTGACCCACAGGAGTACTTTGCTTGGCCTGTGCAAGCTTCATGTCTTTGAATTGCAACGGCTTCAAGGGAAGGGGGCAGCTCCCTGCAGACCCCACCAGCCCCGCTGATCTATGTGCACCTGGCCCTGGCTCCCACACTCAAAGACCCCCAAGGTATTCCACAGATTCTCAAATCCCTGAATCGAGAGCCTTCTGGAGCCGTTACTGGCTCTAGAGTTCTGTGACTCCACACAGCTTTGCTTTCAGACCCTGAGCACATGAAGCCTCTTGAAAGGGATGGTCTGGGGATAGTCTCTGAAGTTCTCCCTGCGGTAGAAAGACTGACACAACGGGAGTCCTGCCTCTTCTCCCAAACTATTTATCCCAAGGAAGCTTCAGGACCTACTAATTCTGCCTCTAGATGTGCTGGCGTTTGGGGCAAGATGGCACCAGCCCCAAACTGAGATACCCATAAGTGGAGCACATGGTGGATGGGATTATTGCTCCTAATTCTTCACATCCTTTGCACTGTGTACCTCCTGCTAAAATAGTCACAGCCTATTTCCCTGCCCCACAATGTTGGAGTCAGCCATGTAGTTTTCTCAGGCCGAGGGGATACCAGAGGGCATGATGCGAGCAGACACTCCACCTTACCTTTCTGGTTTGGTTTTGGCTTTGTGCTCCCGTGAGACACCACGAGAAAAGCATGCCCCAAGTAGCTCCTTCAGCCTGGGACATGAGGAGCAGACTTGTACCCAGCCTGCAGCCTAGCCCAGCTCGCCTACCACCTGAAACAGAGCCATCCCAGCCAACATAAATTTGTGAGTGAGGAACACACACACACACACACACACACACACACAAAATGTGTTTGTGCACCATGATAACTTGAGGACTGTTTGTTACACAGCATCACTGCAGCAACAGCTGACCACTACAAGAAGGGAAGGTTGCCGACCTCACTGCGACACTACTAGAAGGAAGGAGAGGCGACTGGCCATGCTACAGCAGCGTCTACTATGCACACACCCCCTCTCCTCTGTTGTAGCAGAAGCACTAGGAATTGGGTGAGGCTTCCTTCCTTCCTGAGTTTCCAGTCTTTTCCTCTATCTCAGAGACAACAGGTACATAACACAGTCTGCCATGTTCTGGATTGATCCGTGTGTCATCCCCACCTATTCGTCTCTCAACTATAAGCTCCTAGAGAGCAAAGACCATGTCCTGAGCGTTTCACGTCCACCATGGCATGTAAGAGAGCACCAGGCACTTCAGTGACTTGATAAGTACTCATTAGATTGAGAAGAACAGATGGGGTCCATCCCAAGGATAACAAACAGCCCTCAGAAATGGTGAGATCAGTGCCAGGGTTGAACCATTAAGCCACAGGGGTGACCTCTGAGCCACCGTCTCCTCCATCACGAGGCGTCATCAGTTCTCGGGGGCTCCCCCGCCTGAGGACACCCTTAAAGAAGGTCCGGCAGGAGACACATCTGCAGAGACGACCCAGAAAGTACACAGGAGGCACCCACCGAGTGCTGGCCCGGCTCCAGGAGCGGCACGGGTGACACCATACAGGGTGGCTGGAAAGTCCCACGGGAGGACGGGCACCTACCTGAGAGCTGGGCGGGGCAACCAGATTGATTCCCGCAGGTGCAGCCAGTGCTCCTGAGGGTGGGCCCATGGCAGAGGCGATGACTCTATATGGAGAGCCCAGGGCATTGAGGGGCGTCCCCACTGCGCTCAGAGTCCGTGGGGCACTCACGGGGGTGTCCGTGTAGTTGGGGTGGCTGTCCATTGGCTTCCCTGTGGACAAGGCTGTCAATGGGCTCATAGACGTGGAGCTGGAGTGGCCGGGGGAGCCTGGAAAGAGAAGAGCAAAGGTGATGGGAGACTGGGGAGCACAGAGGTGGCCCCTGTGAGGACAGAGACCACCCCCAGCTTGTTTCCCGTGCCCTTCCCCGCCTTCCAGCCCCACTGCATATCTGTGAACCCCAGGCGCTCACACCCCCACTGAGCGCGTAGAATAAAGGCAAATGAAGAAGAGAGAGGGAGAGGGCCTTCCCTAGGACAGAACACCCATCCACGTTTTACTTCTCTGCTGCCTGCCTGGAATCTACCTCGGCCCGTGTCACATCAACAGCCGGAGCCACAAAGGGCGCAGCGCACGAGCCCCCAGGCCTCGGCCAGCCAGCCAGGGAAGGTGAGTCGACTCCAAACCCCCCACGTGGAGGGAAGGTGAGCAGGTGCCCAGGCCGTTTCCGAAGTCTCGGCATCACACGCCTGGTGCTCTGAGAGTCGGCGCAGGGCTGAGCCTGCCGGTCAGGAGACATCACTCACGCACGTGCGGTGAACGTTGACTGAGGTACAGGTACTATGCCAGGTGCTGGGGTTTCAGAGCCCGGGAGAACCCCGTCCCTGCCATCAGGGGTCACGTTCCGCCATGACAACGGGGCAGCAGACGCTGTTGTCACTCCCTCAACTGCCCTTATCTTTCGCAGCTTTGTGCCTACAGAGTCCTTGCCCTGCCTGTCTCTACCGCACGGGGCTTTGTCAGCCCTCAGGGAAGAAGACGCAGGATGGCCATGCGTGGCTTGATGGCCACAGGAGCCCAGGAAGGCAAGGGCGTACAGGCCTGCCCAGACCCTTTCTACCTCGAGGCCCAGGGAGCTGCAGTCCCAGGTGTCCACGGAACAGCCCCTGGGCATGTGGTTGTCTGGTACCATTTTTCCCAGGCTGAGCTGACTCTAAGCTCCCTTAGGGTCAGTCCCAGCTCAAGATGACAGACAAGGAGGGTGCCCCACTGTCATCCGAGGCGCCCAGCACGGAACACGCTCTCCCTAAGAGAGGAGCTCTACACCTCAGGATCTGAGCAGCAAAGAAGAGACTGGAAAAATGATAGGGCAGCCCACCCGTGTCATAGAGCTACTTCCTTGTGTGGTCTCTTGAGTACTTACTACGTGCAGGATGCTCTAAGTCTTGGGAGATATCAGGGACCACTAAGGGAAGTGTTAGGAGCAAGATACGTGGGGCGGGGGGGGGGGGACATGCCCCCTTTGAATGCTGGGGGCAGCAAAGCACGTCAGAAGTGCACCTGGAGAACTATTCTTTTTTTATTATTGAGATATCATTGACACGCAACATTGTATTCGTTTCAGGGGCAAAACCGAATGATTCGGTATTTGTTTATACTGCAAAATGATCACCCTAATAAGACTAGTTAACATCCGTCACCACACACAGTTGGAAATGGTTTTTCTTGTTTTTTTTTTTTTTTAATGTTTTATTTGTTTTTGAGAGACAGAGATGAGCGCGAGCAGAGGGAGACGCAGAAGAGGAAACAGGCTCCGGGCTCCAGGCTCCGCGCCGAGCCCGACGCGGGGCTCGAACCCACGAACCGCGAGATCACGATCTGAGCTGAAGTCAGACACTCAACCGACTGAGCCGCCCTGAATGGTTTTTCTTTTTTTCTTGTGATGAGAACTTTTAGATCTACTCCCAGCAACTTTCAAATATACGGTACAGTACTATTAACTATAGTCGCCGTGCTGGACGTCACATCCCAAGAACTTACTTATTTTATGACTAGAAGTTTGTACCTTTTCACTCCCTTCACCCATTTCTCCCGCCCCTATCCCTACCTCTGGCAACCACCAATCTGATCTCTGGTGCTATGAGTTCAGTGTGTTTTCATTATTATTATTAGATTCCACATAAGTGAGATCATACAGGATCTGGCTTCCTCTGTCCGACTTACCTCACTTGGGCGTAGTCCCCCAAGGTCCGTCCGTGTTGTCACAGATGACAAGAGTTCACTCTTTCTGATGGCAGAATAATACTCCATCACATATACAACTTTTATGCGCTCATGGATGACACCTAGGTTACTTCCACCTCTTGGGGATTGTAAATAATGCTGCGGTGAACATGGGGGTCGATACACTTCCTTGAGCTCATGTTTTCTCTGTGCAAAGACTCTTAAACATAAATATTCCACTGGAAAAAATGTCAGCCTAGAGTTTCTCTTGAGCTTCTGCTAACACGCCTAAGGTCTCTCTGGAGGGAGAACAGCCAGTCCCACGTCCAAGGAAGCTCTGACCCTCCTGTCATCCTACCCGGGGAGTCTCCATCGGGGACAAATGTCTCATTAACAGATAAATCCCAATCACCCTGTTCTAAGTAGCACAGCTGATGGGGGCGGGGGGTGCCTGGGCAGCCCAGTTGGTTAAGCATCCAGCTTCCACTCAGGTCATGATCTCACCGTTCGTGAGTTCGAGCCCCGCGTCGGGCTCTGCGCTGACAGCTCGGAGCCTGGAGCCCACTTCGGATTCTGGGTCTCCCTCTCTCTCTGCCCCTCTTCTGCTCCCACTCTGTCTCTCTCTCTCTCCTCAAAAATAAATAAACATTAAAAAAAATTAAGTAGCACGGCTGAGGATGAATCACATTCCAGGGGTCCACGGAGGAGTGGCAAAGGGGTTCAAATGAACAGGTCGGACACTTACCACCTATCCTGAATAGCATTAGGCAAATTCCATGCGTTAACTCACTTCCTCCTGACGATAAGCCTGTGGGGACCATTTCAGGGGCTCAGCCTCCCCCCGCCCCCAAGCTGCTCTCTGCTCCAGGATGATTTGCTCTCCTCTCCATTTCCATGACGTTCTTATTCCTCCTTCAAGGTCTAAGTCAAGTGTCCCCTCCTCCAGGAAGACTTCGCTGGTGTTCCCGGACTCGTCTGATGCCCTTTTCTGTTTTCTCATAATAGCCTGTGTTTACTCCTATCCTAGCACTGATTCCACTGTGTCGCCATATTTGTTTATTGCCCTGGCTTTTCCACTCAACCGAGAGAAGGGGAGAAGTGTCCATTTTCGCGTCCCCACCCCTAGCATGGCACCTGGCGCTACCCGGGGGGATAAGTGACAGAGCCTAGATTCGAACTGTCGGTCTGAAACCCACGCTGCCTCCGGTCTGTGTTGGCAAGGACAGCAAGGATGACTGGGAGAGCCACCGTATCGCAAAGTGCAAGATGACTCAATTACGAAGTGATCTCAAGCTGCAAGTTTATCTGAAGGAGAGGGAGAAAAGGGCAGCTTCCAAGAACTCAAGCCGGAAAAACCAAAAATCTTCCCAGATGGCCACTGATCGGAAAGAACAATTTTAGACTCTTCTGAGGCCCAGGAAGGCTGTGACATTCACAGAGGCCAACGTATATCTTGAGCCTGTTACTAAGATAACATGTGACAGGTGAGTTGGAAGCCAGCCTGTCTTGACGGGCCAGGAGCCCTGCTCTCCACTGGGACAGCGGCCGTCCGACCCCCTGGCCGTTCCCTTCCGGCTTCGGCTTCAGACCAAAGGACCCCGCAACTCTCCTTTTTACTCTGCTTGCGTGGGTCCCAGAGAGTCTGTGCCTTGTCACTTCTGCACCCCGACAGCAGGCCCAGAGCCGTGGGACAGACAGGAACACCACTTAGCTTCACACCCGCATCAACCCAAGAGCTCCCAAGGTGTGCCGCCTGTAACGCAGTGGTGAGGGACACCTTCGGGGGTATTTTAAGTGGGTGTGGGTGTCACAAAATATTAAGAGTTTAAGAATTACTTTTACTGTTTCCTTCTATTTATAGCAGGTGACTGGGCTTCTATTTTTGTACAAGATTGCCTTTCTAAAAATAGCTATTTAAGTTTTCAAAAAGAGAGTGAACTGACCTAGGACAAAGGATACTCGGTCCGGAGAAGATCACGGGAAGAGTGTGCAGAGGGAATGACGGGTAAGGGAAACACTGACCTGCACAAAAAATACAGAAAACGTGGACTTTGGGGAACTCACAAGTTGTTCCAGGAATAAAAGGAGATGAGCTGAGAGCGATTGAAATTAAAAGTATATTGCTTTTGGGGCGCCTGGGTGGCTCAGTCGGTTAAGCGGCCAACTTCGGCTCAGGTCATGATCTCGCAGTCCGTGAGTTTGAGCCCCACGTCGGGCTCTATGCAGACAGCTCAGAGCCTGGAGCCTGTTTCAGATTCTGTGTCTCCCTCTCTCTGACCCTCCCCTGTTCATGCTCTGTCTCTCCCTGTCTCAAAAATAAATAAAATAAAAAGTTTAAAAAAATTTTTTTAAAAAGTATATTGCTTTTATTGTTAATAATAATAATATTAGGACAATCGGAATATACCATGATACTCTGAATGGTGTGTGGCTGGGACGCCTGGGGGGCTCAGTCGGGTAAGCATCCAGCTTCGGCTCAGGTCACAATCTCATGGTTTGTGGGTTCAAGCCCCATGTCGGTCTCTGTGCCGACAGCTCGGAGCCCAGAGCCTGTTCCGGATTCTGTGTCTCCCTCCCTCTCTGCCCCTCCCCCACTCATGCTCTGTCTCTGTCTCTCAAAAATAAATAATCATTGAAAAAAATTAAAAAAAAAAAAAAGAATGGCGCATGGCTGAGACAGAATGAAATAGAGTTAAAGCTTGGTTTGCAACGGCCTTAAATATGGCGTGTTTCTGCTGAGTCAGTGACCCAGAAGAGGTGGGCTATTTTAAAGCTACATTTAACAAAAAAGAAATTCGCCCAGCATCGGGCCCCAGGCTGCCAGCCTGACGGCACAGAGCCTGCTTGGGATTCTCTCTCTCTCTCTCTCTC